AATTTTATAAATTTATCGGTTAGAAAACAACAATTGCCCATTCCATAGAAAATCTTATTCCTTTGTTCTTCACATGTTTCACAAAATTTTTTTTTTTAAATTAATATTTTAAATTTAAAAGGATAGTTTAGGTATAAATGTGAATTTACAAATAAAGGTATAGATGGACAAAGTCCAAAAAAAACATCATTTATATCCAATTTTCCCTAAATTTTATCTATATATTGTTTTTAAAAAAAAAAAATTTAGAGATTCGTGTACAACTGAAAACGAATTATAAATGTTGAAACTTTTTTTCACTATTAATGAGAAGATTGCAGACGTGTTCATATTAGAGATTACACACACAAAAATAAAAAAGAATGACAATATAAAAGTAATTAGTGTTTAAATTATATAGGTTTCACACATAGGAACCGGAATTTATCTTGAGAAGCTTTTAAGGGTGCTGTTAAATTATCCTCTTCTTCAGATACGCTTCGAGTTTCTCGACGTCGACGACGACGATGTTTGCATCTGAAATAGCGGTTTTTTATCCTCCTATACTTTAATCATTTTGTTTTACTTCATAGTCTGTTTGATTTATTATGATCAATTCAACCAAAATATAAGTTGTTGCACTTTTGTTTACTTTATATTTTGCTTATATTCTACTTATATTTTACTTATGAGAGAGAGAGAGAATGACAAGTTTATTTCTTGTTCTTTTGTTCGTTGTACTCGCTCTGTTGGTCTTTATGATTTGGAGACGTTATTCACTTCCAGTTCTTCCCAAGAACTTCCCAAGCCACGACAGTCTACCCGTCCAAGAATTTGTAGTCGACGTGGAAGCTCTGGAGGAATATATCTAAAGAAGAGAGAGAGATGGGTTTTTTGTGTGTTGTTTCTTATGGTCGTTTTCCTTGTCAAACTTTTTTGCTAATGATGATTAAGTTTTGCATTGTTGTGTTGCTAATGATCTGTCTCCTGGTCATTTTCAAATTGTTTTTCAGGCACTCNTCATGTACGAAGCCGAAGAAGAGGTTCCTCCAGAGTGAAGCCGGAGCATTTGTTGTTGACATTGAACGTCTTGAGGAGTATTTAAAAAGCAAGAAGATGGAGTAAGAGAATTAGGAAGATACTATCTAAAGAAGAAAGATCGGTACTAATATGTAATCTCTACTTATAAGTGATGCAGAAGTTATAATATTATGTATTACAGTATTTGGCAACTTTTTGTTAATTTCAAGAAGAAAAAACAAGTCACTCAAAACGTTTATCCATTGATCATCATCATTAAAGATCTCGTATTACACGAATCACCATGATTTAGCTTAAGCCCAAGTCAACGTAAAAACGGCAAGGTGTTGGTAAGATTTACTTATTTTCTCGTCGATGGATTTCATTAATTTTTCTACCCAGAAATTCACCTACAGTCCAGTCGAGCTTCTCCCTCCGTCCAATGGCCACATTTGAATCTCCTATGATTCCAGAAGCTTAACACCATCGCAGCCTGAAGGTTATAAATGATAGACCATTCATGAGTTGTCCAGTCACCAACCCGTTGTGATATTTGTTAGGCAATTTTTGGAAATGAATCGAAAAGCACATGTGTACATATGTCCGGTTTAAGCTGCTAACTTGATGGTTGTACTTAACATCAAATCTGTTCAAAAAAATCAAAATCTATTTAGTACATAAATTAGAAGTTCAATCTAATGTATAAAAAAACATTTTAAACAAATATGAATAAATTGTAAAAAACAATTAAACTAAAATTTTCAAAATAATAAATTCTAAAAGTTAAGAATTTAACTTAGTGACAATTACCCAAAATAACTCAAAACTATGAAAAAATAACTAGATTAACCCACCCAAAAAAGTATTACTAGTATAACTCAGATTTTGAGTAAAAAGACAATTAACATTATAAACTTCATTTTATTATCGAAAATGCCATTTTTATTTATTT